GGATTTCATTACTAACAATCACTAATGATAACTTTTTAGAGAGGTTATGTTTTCGTGTATTGTCATTGCCACTGAAAGTGATGCAACGACTTGTTGTATAATCTGCTGATTTCCTGTAATTACGTGTTTGTTAAACTTCGTTAAATATTACATCGCTAGCAGCATTCTTACCATAAATAATATTGTATCAGGTACAATTCGGCAAATATTTCATTTATTCTTGGACTTCCACCAACTTAATTAAAAATACGCGAGTATCAACTTGAACAAGTCGGATCAACAATTAAATTGGTCAACTGATCAGCTGATCAGCTGATTAGTTGACGTTCGAAGCATTACAATTTTTAATTCTTTTCTCTCAATACTTGAACCTCATTGGTCCGTTACCTGTGTGGATATGAGAAAACTATGCGGATATGAAATGAAACTATGCGGATATGAAAGTAAACAGCTGTAAAGTGAAACTTTTCAATTCTAAGAACTGGACTGAAATGGCTACTTTAAAAAACGGTCGTAGGTAAAAAATATTATCGTTCAGATTTGAGTGAAAAGCGTTCTTCAATACAAAATAGGTTCTTCACGTCTAACTTTTTCTGTTGTTTTAAAGTGGACCTTCATATATAGATATATATATATTTATCGTTGCTTAAGGTGGGTTTTGAGGGAATCAGCACATTGGTGATTAGCGGGATTTGAACTCTGACCTTCAGACCAGTAGCAACGAACACATGAAAAACATGGACATCATGATATTGATTAGCAGGTATTATATCATAATGTAATAAGACTTTAACCTGAGGTCTGTGTAAGTCAACTGATCTCTAACACAAAGCTCGGCAACCTACACAAAGCACTCAAGAGCGTGACTCGTGCGTATTTCTACTTTATGACACCACTCTGGTCCTGGCAATGCTTTTATATTGTACCTTTCAACTTTTATCAAACTACTAGATTGTATCTCGTGGTAGCGGAATAAACTTTCATGTAGTTAATGCAGTTTTTAAACGACGATATTACGATGTAATCACTTTATTAGCAATTCAATTTTTGTTTCTTAACACTAGTGAATATCAAAGGCGGTTTAAGATCGTCTATCAGAGTTATTAGAGAAGAAAGGTAGCTCCATATTGGTCCTGGGAAAAATAAGGTCTTAACTTAAGGTCATTGAATTCTGAGAGGTTGTGATTCGGGTTTGAGATGTCAATGGTACTTATTTATTTAATGTTAGCATGGATACCAATAACAATAGGGTTTATGAATCTTTTTTTATTTTCAAAAGTATACGTGACATCTCCAACAAATGCCGCACGTCCTAGAGGCCACACCAGTAACATTTTTACCACAAGGTAAGGTCAGGAGGACATATTATCCAGGGTTGATTGTTATTTAAATACAGTTGTGGGTAAGAATTAATACCCACAACCATAAACTCAGGCGATCATAAACAAAATTGATTTCTTCTGATTCTGAAAATATTTAAATTCCTATAACGATTCAACAAACGAAATAAAATACGCAGTAAGTTTTAGATTTCATGTTAAAAAAATATGTTGTTGCATGTTGTTATACTGCCCCTGGATAGAGATTTACGCCATTTAGGGATATGTCTCACTTATCATTTATTTGTTGATGTGGTTTTCCAGCCTGCTGAAACCAAAAATGATAAAAACACAAAAAAAAAAATAAAAATCCAAATAAACATTATACGAAAATTGTTATAGGAAAATCACCATTAAAATAAAAAATTCAAAAAAAAATTCCCGGAAATAGTTTACTATGGTTAACCCCACATACCGAATTTCATCAAAATCGGACGACAGGTGTAGTCTGCACACATCCGCAAACACAAATACACACATCACTTCAAAAACCACTTTTTTGGGCTTCAGACTTCAGGGTGGCCCAAAATAGATATTTCCACCCAAAAATCAAGCTCAAACATTTTGAAAATACCCCCACCGCAAGCAAACCTGCAGACGAAGCGAATTTCCATTTGCCTGATTTGATTTTCACTTAAATCTGTTTAAATAACATTACGTTTAACGAGTGCCTAGGTTTGCTGCTACAGAAAGGATAATAAAGAATGTTTTTAGAAAAATATTAATAGTTTAGTATAAAATAAATACATTTGCCAAGTTTGATAAAAATATATCTTTAAACAAGCAAACTACAACAGTAAACTAATTCTCACTAAGAATAACATTGGAATTTTAAATTTACATTTATTTGAATTTTCTTCTTGATCAATGACCGTACAAAAACACTTCAATGTACAAAATTATTTGTTATTTTAAGCTCTCTTTAACAAACTATTTATACAATAATTTCCCGTTTTATCACAAAACTATATGGTGAGAACTTATGACTCCAAGTGGTAAAGATTGTATATTTTACACAGATCGTGATAGCTCAGAATCTATATTTGTATTTAGACCATTGAATCGTAAAATACAGTTAGGAGATGGTTTTTAGAGGTCGTCCAATGGTCGAAAACTCGACCTTAAATATGTAATGTACAAAATTTCCACCCCACTCTGTAAATAAAACATGTGATTGGAGTTGTTTCCATTTGTTTTGATTTTCTGTTTATATTTCATTGTTATTTCGTCACCAGCATGGCAACCCATAAGGCCCATGTTAATTTTTCTAAATTTTAAACAAATTTTTGTGCTTATTTTCGAGCATATTTTAATCTATAAAGGGATTCTGTACATCTACAGGAAAATATCTTTCCAACAGTATGCGTAGATTTTCCTTCCGATGCACTAGCTGAGAAAACAGGTTTAAAGAAACATATTTGCCTATTAGGCCTAATATATAGATGTGGTTAAAAGCACTTTTAGTTGTGGTACAGTAAATGAAGGTACAATAGTTGTAAATGTTATATTTTAGGAAGTAAGTAGACAGTTGATCTGACGAGTTTGCACCACGTTCTCGTTTGTGGGGACGGACGAGATAAACTACAATTTTACATACACGCGCTCCCTTCTCCCCAAGGGTTTGAAGTTTGGGGTTTGAGCTGCAGAGGGGTCGGTTGGACATCATTACAAAGTTATTCCTACTAAAACCTCCAACCGAACTTTATTTTTTTCGCCTTTCTTACCGCTGCAACGATTTTTATTATTCATTTAAAAACATAGACTTTATATTTTACGTAAAATCATCCATTACGTTAGACATAGCATTGCCCATCTTTAGACTTTATTACAAATTATAGTCTGCAAATATAAATTAAATCAATCAGGTGGATTAGTTATACAATCAGGTTGTATTTAAAATAAAACATTTTTAATTGTTTTCATATTCAATTTATTATATTAATGCCCGGTTATGCCCGCTGTTAATATTATGCCCGGTTTTTTTATTTGCATTTAAATAATGTTACCAAGTGTGGGAACTCAGTTTTTTCTTTACTAGATCTACCGGTAGACAATGTGTTGAAATTTTTAATTTTTAATTTAGATGTACACTGATTAAACTGCAAAATCTAGAAATCCAAAACTTCGATTATGTATACATCTGCGTTGATTTTCTTTTGTTCACATTAACAAATTAACAGTTCTTCAAATATTTTATCTCAAGTTATTGTTATTGGGCAATATGCGATAGGGATACATTAAGATTCACGATGTAGAATACAATTTTTCGTAAAGTCACCTGCATTTTTAAAGACAGTTGATGAGCTAACTCTGAAGATTATCTCACTAATAACTTAAACAGCTTTTCATGACCAATACACTCTGTACACCTAGATATGAGTATACCCACAATTATCGACACAACTGAGCATTTTAGACCAGCTAAATGAAATAATTATTCATGGCGTGGTTTTCTCAAATTTATATATATTCAAAGGTGGCTCAGCAAATTTTCCAAACACACTTCCACAAACTAATATTCTACAACGAAGGAAAGATGTCTAATGGGTATATTCACTGTATGTCTATTAGTCACTTAGTCAATCAATAAATCTACTTACAAAATTAAACATTAATTTTTAGTTTTATTTTGTGATGAGAGTAAAATCCTCTTACAAAACAAGATCAAGAAAAATAACATGTTGGAGGTCAACTAACAACACTAAGGGTTATACAAAAGAGCTACAGTAAATCTTCTAAAATAACAATCTAACAGTAGTATAGTAAGAGTTGCCTATTTGAAACACAATTTCTGTCAGTGGAATTTAAATCCAAACTAAATAATAAACCAAGTTTTGCTTGTTGTTTTTAAACATTTTACATAACCTACAAAAAACTAAGCTGTAAAATATCACGTGGAATTACAAGACCTCTTCCCTTTAAACAATTCCAATTTCTGAATCTCTAACTCGGACTACGCAGTTAAAACCACTTTTGGGTTTCGTAAAACATAACTCAACACTTTTAAAAATAAACAAACAATTTAGAAACAACTCTGCTAATCCTGAATATCCCAAATAGACTTCACACGCTCACGCCGACGATTTTCTTACAGTATTCTCAGGATTATGTACTAAGATAAGCATTTTAATAAATCATATGGTTGAAAATTAACAAATACTGTATGCTGAAATCCGTAACACAAATAATACATCATGCAGTCAACTGTTAACTCTTCTTTTAACGCATTCATTGCTAAGATTTATATCAATAGAAAAATCAAATAAGTAAAGTGAAATTTTAGTTGGTCAACCCGTCTACAGCAAAGTGAGATTGAGACATGTGATGACCGGGAACAGTATCAGTAGGCTAACAGTGCATAGACCGCGTATTGAACTGGCGAGTGGCGTGGTCCAAGGCAACCGAGGTAGCGTAATTAGTACAGTAGCGGACAGCGGTCCTGAGTCCGGAGCGGGCGAGGTACACGGGCGAAATGTCGATGTTGGCGAGGCGTATAATAACATCTGGCCAAAGCGCAGGGGATTAGACGCCATACGACGCGCTCCCCGAGACCGACTCCGGTCGAAAATCGCATCCAACAGAACCGCACTCGATATTTCCTCCCCGCGGGAGGGGGGTGAGTGTCTGTGAGGGGGTCGGTGATACGTCGTCATGGCCACGGGGAGGGCCTGCGCTTGGCGATTTATCACGTGATTGGTCGAGAACGCGCATGCGCAGAGGGAGTTGTCGGCGCGCCGGTGTGCGGCGGGTCGCGGCGATGTCAGTTTGAGTTGACTCTCGTGCGGTGCGGACTGTGGACTGTGTGACGAACGTTATGACCCTGTAGTGTTGGTCCCGGTGTAGGGGCCAGTGTCGTAGGAACCCGTGAATCTCCACCGCCACCACGACGCCGATCAAGCAAGATCTACACCAGGCACCGCCCCCGTATGGTAGGCGCCGCGGCGGCAAGCCGTCGTCCCTCGCATCCACGTTCGGACTGCAATACTTCCAGGAGGACGGAGGCTCCGGATCAGGGGCTCTCCTCGGGACCCCGGGTCCTAGGGCCCACGCTCCCCTACTGGCACCGTGCTGCGTACCTCTACCCGTCACACAGACTCACAACATAGGTACAACAGTTCTCCAAGTAGGCCTACTCGTGTATAGTGCCGATGCCGTCGTGCCCGTAACATTGTCACGGAGAACGGGCACGGTCGACATGTGTTTGTATACATCCTCTAGGACAAACACTATCGTCCTGTCCATATCTTCCCGTGACAACGCGTCTAAACTAATCAAGGCGTCAATAACAATGTCAACATACAATTACTCACTCTTTCATTCATGTTTGCATTCAGTTACAGCTTTGATTAACCGGAGCACCTAATCAACCACATTGCCCCAACATTGATTGACCACACGAACCATAACGTGTTATCATAGTATGTAGCTCGGCAAATATAGTTAAAAGGCATAGGCCGCTACTTATAATACTATAATCGACTTGTTTCATGCGATTAAAAAGTATTCTATTGAGAACACCCTTAGTGAGAGCACGATTAGTTTTAGTCTATTCTAAAGGAAGCTGTTTTAGCAAGCAATCGGTTAGTACTCTTACGGGTTATTTGTTATTTTAATCAGGTTTATCCTATAATCTACATATAAGCCAGCTAAAACTAAATGCGTACAGTAGTTTAATATGATCAATGAATAATATTTTTGTTATCTTCTGAGCGATTCGACTTTCAACTAATTTTAAATAATAATATTGTAGCCAATAAAATAAGATAACACCATAAGGTTATAATTGTAATAAAGTTATACTAGCAAAGTTATATACCGAACGTAATCAAAATGTTTTTTCCTTAGCCTACGTGTTATCAGTCAAATGTAAGGCATATTTCTGGAAATAGATAGTATTTTGCGGGATTCGTTGCATGGTAATACAAACCTTTACAGCAAGATCTATTTATACTTAAAATTTAAAATACAACTTTTTGTATAACTATTTTTGTGCGTTATAGGATACATAGCACGACCTACTTATTTATTTCTAAAAATCGTTGTATGGATAAAACAAAGTAATAACAATGGTTTATATATTACGAAATAACATTTTAAGCGTTGACTAACACTTAATCGCGATTGCATCGGAAAACTGCTATAATTTTATTTTTAAAGTCAAACGATTTAAATAAATATAATGTGTTATTTTTAGGAAAAAGTATAAAAATAAAGACAAATTATAAAATGAGCCCTAAAAATAAAATTGGTTACTTTTTAAAAGATAGTGTTAATATATAGTGTATATAGTATACACGAATGTATTTTTGTATTCCTGAGAAGTACTGTATACAGTCCGGGTGTCGCAGGTAGTTTCCGAGTGGCCCCCGGGTCTGTACCCGTATAATTGAGGCCCGATTTTGATTATAGTGATTACCCGGTCGTGGTGACACTGTCAGCACCATGTGCCCCTGGAGGCCCGCGATTTTGAAACTCCCAAACGAGACCAAAATATGGAAAAAGCCCTAGAATCTGTGTGAAAATATATATTTCTACATGACTACAACATATTTTATGCTTATTGATTTTCTAAAAGGAAACCAAAAAGTCTTGAAACCCCTCAACGGAACTAAAATATCGAAAAAGCTGTAGTTAAAATATTTGTTCGACCACAATACAAAATGTTTTACGATTATGGATTTCATAAATCGAACTAAAAAGTGTTGAGACCCCTAATGAGATTAATATACATTCAAAGCTCTAAAATCAGTGTAAATATATTTATTTCTATGTGACTAATACAAGATATATTATTATCGATTTCTATTTTTAAATCTTAAACGAGACTGAAGTGTTAAAAAAGCTCTAAAATCAGAATATATATCATGTTTATTTATATATGACTATAGTATATAATTCTAAATATTTTAGCTTTCGACTTCTTAAAACCAACTAAAACTACTTTAAGCCCAAAACGAGACTACAAAATAGAAAAAAGCTCTATAATCAATGCGAAAATATTTATTTCTATGTGACTACTTAATTATTAAAGCAAACTAATTGGTTTTACAACACCCTACACAGTGAGATTTATTGAAATTTATTGATATGTCACTTCAATGCAAAATAATGTACGCTTATCAATTTTTCTAAAGCAGACCAAGTTTTTAAAACCCCTATTTGTACATTTTATAGAATATATAGTTATGTCGCTTGCTAAAAAGCAAAATAGAAAAATGTTAAATACAAAAATATTGAAAGAGCTCTAGAATCATGGTGAATATATTCATTCCTATATGACTTGAGTAAAATATCATACAGAACATTTTATTTTGAAAACCCTCTTTTTTAGAATCTTGTCGTGTTACAAGAGTAAAAGATAGGAAAATATTAAACATAACATTTTGGCTAAACCATAAAATAATGATAAACAAAATTCATAGACTTATTCTTGTATATTACAATTAGAGAATATTAGAGACAGCACAATTAACTTTATAGATTTACAAATTATTCAATAATTAATATATTTACTTTATTTTACAGTGGTTTGAGTTCATTCATTTTCATACATTTTAAATATTTTGTATCGGTGAATTTAAATTAATAAACGTCCTAAGTTATGATATAGGTTATGTCTGCAAATATATTTTAGCAACATTAAAGGCCAAGGCATAGTTGTAGGACATTCATTTACTATAGGCTATATAATGAAATTTTCTAAATCACGGTCGCCCATTTTTTAAATTTTAAGCCATCCGAAAACTATTTAAACCCTGAATGACATTCATACACAAAGTAAAATTATTTTCCTCTTATTTTAAATACGTTATTTATTCCTAAAGATATCAATAATCGCTGTTGGTGTGAAAACAGCCTAACAAATTAAAAAGGTTTTGCATTTAACTATATTTGAGTGGTGTATAACATCAATTTTACACAAGTTTTCATCCAACAAAATTTTTGTTTTAACATTCAAATACTGGCAATGTGTTTTAAATGAACCCACTTAACCGGTAGGTAAGTAATTAGAATTACCAAAAATCATATTTGAGCTTGTTATGGTAATGGTTTTGGACTAGAGCTGATAATAAATAAATTTATTGATATATTTGACACCTATTATTACAAATAATAATATTGAGACACAAATGAAAGTTGATCATCCAATTTGTCAATTAGTAAACTACATATGCAAGAAATAGTGACTAGTCTTATTGCATTAATATGTGGCCAAGAACTCATTTGAGACTAAGAACATGGATCGGGCACCAATATTATAATCCGCTTTTTGAAAATTTAGTTACAATTTACTCGAATTGCGCTGGAGTAAGACATTTTTCATTTTGTAATTAATTAAATTAAGTCTAAATAATAACCGCATGATCACTTTATATTTTCGCACCAAGTTTATCCTACTGTTGGTATCTTCTTTACAACTTAACGATCTATAATAGGTTAAATATGTGGATTACTTATTGAACTTGATTACATCCTTACATACATTTTATACATCTATTATAGGGTGCGTTAGGTATCGTTCATATCGTCACAACATTGCATGAAATCGTTTACTTCAAAGTAGACATACATAAAATACAATAAAAACATAAAATACACATAATAATATAAAATTACAAGATTTAGTTCAATTATTTTCTCAAAAAGGACATTTTAATGCTTGCAAAAATTAAAGAAAAAATTAATGTATGGTGACGTTTAGTTTATGATACTATTTTTATAGTATATTGTACTACTTTATAATCTTATTTTAATGCAATAAGTATACGAAAATCGTCGTGCTTCAAACATGAATAAAAATGTATTGGTAGCTTATTACATTCACATAATTTTGTAGTTTTTTTTTTAAATTATAAATTAACTAAAGAGAAGATTTAAACACATAAGATACACACTATTCTTGATTGAAATTCTTATATTAACAGTTAATTTTGTCAGTGATGACAAAAATAATAACTAACATAATACATCTAAAAAAACGATCTCAAAATAAGTAACCATTGGCACAAGAATGTCAAAAAGAAATTGAATTTGAAACATGGCCTGCGCAAAAAGTATTCATACTTTTTTACATTGTTGAAAAACATCAATGCCGAAAAATATACTTGCCAGACTAAGTTACACTGTTGATGTTGATACAGTTAGAAATTTATTGGAAAATGCTGTAGGTATGTACTCTAGGAGATGATAATTTTATCAGTATGTAAACATGTCATGTATGTATCAGTGGTATGTTTAGGTATTTTTAAAATCACTCTATTATCGCATGAAGCTGTTGGTAAAAGCAGGGTTAAACTTAGTAATAAAAAGTAGGCATATAGTAGTCTATATATAGTAGTCTATATAAATTAGACTATAGTTTATATAAAAATATACTTTAGCATAAGTAGTCATTAAACCTAATTTTATGCATCATAAGGTGAATATCATGATCATTTTACTATAAGACATTATCTTTATTCCTACGAATTCATATTTATCTAAATTAAAACCCATTATTAAAATATTCTGTGTCGTAAAGAGATAGTATGACATAAATACCTCGTCACAAAATTTTGGAAAAAAAAAACAAAAACTTGGAAGGCAAACCTAATTTTCCAATTACTCGATATTACATTATGAACATTTATTGATTTCCATGAACCAGTATTAAGATCAATATTTGGTCACTTGAATAGTACAAACTAAAGTAGTAAACACCATTTAAAAATGCTATGTTGAATAGGTAATTGTGTGATAAATACTTCACTTCATCTTTCCAAATGTACATCGAGGGTTTTACAATATATAAATATGTTTATATTTTAAGCCATCCGAAAACTATTAAAACCCTGAATTGCATTCATCTTCTATATCAATGAGAATTTCGTGTACAGATGTTTAAAAGATTGGAAGGTAAATATAGTAGGATAAAGCCTGATACTTATACTGTAGGATCATCGTAGGATAAATTAACTTGAACAATATTTTTGATTACCACGAGTAGTTTTCCGCTAAATTGAAAACGAATATTTAATATTCTATGTGGAATAGAAACAAGGCCGAGACTTTAACAATCTACATTTTGTCAATAGTTCACTTCACAAAAATGAAATACAATTTAGTG